TGGTTCGCATCACATCCTGAACTTCTGCCATTGTGATAGGTTCGGGTGCAGGCGCAACGACCGATGCATGACCCATCACATTCTTTGGCCCAGGTTGTCATCTTCCTCGGATATTTCCTAGTATGTCTTCACCATGACGTTTTGTACACCAAAGCAGACATTCGGTGTACCGAGGCGAGAATTTAAGATAGGAAAGTTTTATTTATGATAGACATATAAATCTCCCTATTACTCTAAAAAGTTACATGCCAGTTCTAATATCGTAATTAAACGTTTAGAAATCTGAACACATAAAATTTCCAGATCCGGTCGGCAATAGACCATAGATCCGAATAAATAATAGCATATAAGGCATCTTTATAGCTATAACATAAAACATTTAGCACATAAAACATTTTAAGGCATGTTTCCTAAAATAAACTAGTGCTCGTGTCTAAATATAGCAGACACTCATCTCACAATCATCGCTTAGCACTCTAAGTTTAAGTCTAGAAATTTCCTACAAATTCCTAGTTCGCTTAAACTAATGCTCTGATACCAACTGTGACCAGTGTTGGTGTACGGAATTTGTTTATTATATTTTGTATGTTTAGAAGGAAATAGATGCAAAAAATTGTAAAGAGAAAACTCATTAATCAATAAGTGTTTTGTAGTAGGAGTATTACTTACATAGATAGAAACTATTCAAGCCAGCTTGTGTCAATCATTGGTCTATGTGGTTGCTTTCCCTGTTGGCCTCATGCCTGTGGTACTGTTGACCTTCGTCGACCTGACACTCTGTCACTTACAGGTTTCATGCCTCTATTTTGTAAGAACACTCAAGTATAACAAAACAAAGATTTATTGATAAAAGAGCTCCCGAAATGGGAGTACTCCTATAATATTTTACATCTCTCCCTTCTAAGGGAGATTTTTACTCACAAGACATTGAACTAAAAATTTACAAGATAGAGAGTGTTTGTGTTGCACTCGTTATTGCGATGATCTTTTCTACAAAACATAACTCTCAATTTATAGATATATTGAGAGGGTCTGATCCTTGCCTATTATGTCAGGCATGACGTTTTTATCCACTAAAGATTACATTATTGTGGACAGCTGGAAAGCTTTTAATAATGGAGAAAAGGCATTATTATTTTGAGTGGTGGGGCCATTTGACACGTGAAGCATCTTTCTTTAAGATGATGAGGATTTGTCATCTTCAGAGGGGGGTCCCTCCTTTGTCTCCGAATCTTTGCAATCGCAAAAGTGACAAAGATGTTCTTCGAAAAGTTGTTCTGCATGTCGGCAGAAGTGTTGGCGTGTAGCATTGGATACTTCCATGCTATTGTTCATGAATTTTTCTCCAAACTTGGAGGCTTGACGAAGATCTTCTTGGCTGGTGTTGTTGTAACTCCAGCTTGTAATTATACAATGTGAATCGGTATAATTAATCTTCTTTTTTGAACCAGAGATAATTTCAATGATTTTTTCTGATATTCTTCTTAAACCATTGACGCGGTTAGGATGAAGAATTTCTGTGAAAGGTAGATCTTTATCTTCCATTGGTTGAGATTGTTCAATCTCTCTATTGGCTTTAGAAAGACCAATTTCCAGAAAGTGGTATGGAGAAAGAGTTGATTCTTGAATCCATTCTGGGAGTGAAGAGATGCATCTGATGTAGATCGGATTATCTTTTGCTTTAAGTACTTTCTTTCGAAAGTTCTTAATGGATTCTACCATGCTGCTTGGGAAGAATTTGAGTTCTTGAAGGTTGCAGCTTGGGTAGATATTGTCGATTAGTCCAGCTTGAAAGGCTTGGTAGACTAATTTTGCATCTGCTCCTTCGAGAAAGTTGAACAGACTTTTTGTTTTCTTGTCCGTAGTGAAAAACTTTTCATGAACAAGGTCTTCTGGGCATGCAGCTCTTGCTTTCTTCCAGATTGTTCTGAAATCTTCAAAAGAGATTTCAGGATAGTTAACCATTTGTTGAACGTCAATTGGAACGTCAAACCTTTGGTCTCTGTGGGCTTCTTTGACTTTTTGAATTTTTGGTCGAAGAAGTGGTTGGTTAGTCTTGCTTGTATCGTCTTGATAAGTGGCAAGGCTTAATCTTGCAGATGTTCCATTTCTGAATTTTTTGCAAGTAACTTTATCAACTTTACAGAAGGTTTCTGTAATTCCCCAGTCAGTATGAACACCGGCATGGGGTCCTTTATAGATTACATAAAATCTTTCAGCTTCTTTGTTAAGAGCTTTTTTGTAATCTGGTGTGAACTCCTGCACAGATTTGTTAGTGGGTGACAAAGTTGTCATTTTACTGATTCCTTCAGTACAAGGATTGGGATCAACCAATAAGCTAGTTTTTCCATTAGGAAGAGGAGTAGCTGTCTCCTTTATTATGCTTTTTAGCAAAGCATCAGCTTTCAACGGATTTGTTGATTCTTTACCAGGTGCCGTTTGCACTGGAATAGCCTTTGTTTTTGAGCTTTCGCTTTCCGGTACATTGGTGACCGTTGTTACTTGTTCATACAAGTTGATTTTCTGCTCAATTGCAGATAGCTCTATGAGGAGCATTTGTTTCTTCATCCTCAAAATGTTGAGGTCTTCCATTTTTGTAAACTCAATTTTTGTTTACTTTTCTCTCTAATCTCCTCCTCACTTTTTGTAGGTGAAGTTTTTTGTGAGGAAATATGTCATGAGGATCATATCCTTTTATAGGGCTCGAGAGGAGCGAGTGAGATCATGGATGATGTAAGGCATACCTGAAGTCACGAGTGAGGCAGTCTGCCAGTACGTTTTGTTTCCTGCGAGATGTTCAACAGCGAAAGTATATCGTGAGAACCACTCTTGCCATCGTATTAGCCGGCCTAATTTGTTATCTCCTGCAATCTTCGTTCGGAGGAAATAAGTAAAATTTTATTATCTGTACGAACCAGGAAATTTACTGGTGTTAAATATACAGAGAATTTTGTAATAACTCTTTTTACAGCGAGTAATTCTTTTTCATTGCTATGGTAGTTTTTCTCAGCTGCTTTGAAACTGCCAGAGGTGTACCTGCAAATTTGTTCTTCGTTTTTGGGGTTTTTAGCTTTTAAAACACCTCCCCAAAATTCATCAGAAGCATCAGTTTCAATAATTAAACTGTCTTCAATGTTTGGAAGATAAAGTTTTGGAAAATTGATTAAAACTTTCTTTATCTTTTTGATGTAGTCTGTATCAGCATTTGACCAATTCCAGATGACATCTTTTTTTAATTTTACCTGTAAAGGTTTTCTCATGGCTGCAAGTTTTTCAATATATGTTTCAGCATAAGTTAAAACACCAAGAAATCTTTGCAGTTGTTTTTTGTCTTCTAAAACATTTGGAAAGTCATGTAAATGTTCAAGAATATGCTTTTGAGGACAATGAGTACCTTCATTTATTTCTAAACCCAAAAAATTGATTTTTGTTTTGAAAAGATGAGCTTTCTTTTTTGAAAGTATTATTCCATATTTTAAAATAGTTCTGAGAACCTGTGTGACATGAACATAGTGTTCTTGTTCATTTTTGCTGAAGATCATGATGTCATCAACGTATACAGTGCAGAAACCTTCAAGGCCTCGAAGAGCGTTCTGCATGTGTCTTTGAAAAATACTAGGAGCTTGTTTAAGCCCAAAGGGTAGTACTTTCCATTGAAAGAGTCCATCAGGACATGTGAAGGCAGTGAGAAGCTGCGATTCTTCATCAAGTAGAACTTGCCAGAAACCTGACTTGCAGTCGAAGCTTGAATAAATGTTTTTTCCTCGTAGAAGAGTCAAGAGTTCGTGCATATTGGGAAGATTATGTGAGTCTCCAATAGTTGCATCATTGATTGCTTTGTAATTGACAACCATGCGCTTCTTTCCTCTTCTTTTCTCTGCTTCTTTATTGACAAGAAAGGCAGGAGACATATGAGGGGATTTTGATTCTATAATTAGTCTCATATCAAGTAATTCCTTGATTTGTTTGGAAAATTCTTCTCTATCTTGTAAAGAGTAAACCATAGGTTTTTCTCTAATAACCGTCTTGGGATTAATAAGCTTAATTGAAGCTTTCATCCATCCTTTGGTTTTATTTGGATCAATAGGATTTTCAGAACAAACTTTTTCAAGAAGATCTTCAATCTGTTTGAACCTGGTAGTTTGAATAGAAATAATCTTTTCTTTATTAATCCCTTCATGGGTTATATTAGTACCTGGAATTTGTTTTTCTTTAGAACCTTTTTCTTGAGTTTCAAGAAAACCTGGTTTTCCTTTGCTATAGGCTTCTGTAACCTTTTTATAATTACCATATCATTATTAAGATGAAAGGCGATTCTATCTATCCATTGTATGAATGGTCCATAAACTTGACAGAAGTTGTTTCCAATTATGATATCAATTCCTGAATTTTGTTGGTAAATAGTGGGAACGTTGAAATGTTCTCCTGAAAGTTCGAGATTAATGTTTCTACAAACTTTATTAATTTTTATGGTTTCACCATTTGCAATAGTGGCACTAATTTCTTTGGGAGCGTTTTCCCAGAGTTCATCCGGAATGATGAATTTGCTTGCAAGACATAAAGATGCACCTGTGTCTACAAAACAATGTACTCTAAATTTTTTATATCCTTTAAAGTTAAGGAAAGTAGAAACATAGATAGAGTTTGGATTAGTAAGATTCATGATAAGGGAATCATCAATCTTCTGGAGGTTTACGCAAAAATGGTTAATCTCCTCCTCTCTGAAAAGTGGGGTTTGTATGGGACTAGTCTGAGTCATCCGTTGTTGATTCGTATTCATCAGTGTCTGATGAAGATTTGTCTCAACATATATAAAAACATGTTGTGTACCATCATACTCTTCTTCAAGAGCTTCAAATCCCCCATTGTTAGCGGTTTGTAAAACCTTGACTTTGTCTGGGTATTTTTTTCTATTTGGACATTCATTGGCGTAGTGTCCTTCTTCATTGCAGATCCAACACCTACATTTTTTCTTTCCTTGCGGACAGGAAGTATTCTTCTTAGGTGTTTCTTTTGAAGGTTTTTTGAAGTATTTTCCTGGTGAAAATTTTCTTCTTTTTTTTCCAAAAAGATTTGAATTTCTTTTTGTTTTTATACTTTTTCTTATTATAATTTTTCTTTCCAATATCAAAGTTTTTGAAATCAGAGAGAATGCTACAACAATCTTTGCTTATTGTTTTAAGTTTTTGTTGTTTATATCTGTCTTGACAGATTCTATCAATTTCTTCTTTTGCAATTTTTGTTGCATAAGAAAGACTGGTTTGCTGGATTTCTCCAGTAACTTCTTTTTTCCATCTGTCTGTACAGGTTTCTCCAATAATTGGAATTTTCATGAGGTAAGCAGATATCCATTGCGCATATTCACTTCTTTGTGGAATATCATACAGATATGATTCATACATACATGTGTATTTGTCGAGAAGACTAATATCATGTAATTGGAGTTTTGTCATTGAAACTCTTGCTATGTCAACTTTCTTATTAATGGTGAAGTCTTTATTAGAAATATAATCAAGACCTAAGAAAGTAGTGTATATGACATTTATGATATTATCAAAAAGATCTGAACCATGCATTTCTTCATTCCAATTATTGTTTCTTAGGAATTTTTGCACAATTCCATCAGTTTTGTGTTCTAAAAGTAGTAGAACATTTTTTGCTTTTTCAAATTCATCTGGGTTTGTCTGTAAGATTAGTGAAATCTCAGTAACCCATTTTTCTACAACTCTTTCTCTGAGTTTTAGATCTTGGATACAATCAATATTGAGTACATTGATCGTATTGGATCCTTGACCACTATTTGGAATACCATTGTGGACAGGCATTTTGAACTCATATTTCTTTTTATTGCTTCTTCTAGCGGCTGTATAAGAAGATTCTGCTTCATCATCTTCCATATCTGAATATTCGAACTTTACAGTTTTTGTATTAGTCTTAAAGTTATCTTCTTGTTCTGATTCAGTATCAGGTTCATCTATTTTAGTCATTCTAAAATATTGATCAAAAAGTTTGGGTTCTTTTTGATACAATTCTTCGCATTCTTCAGTTTCTAAAGATAAAAGCTGAATAAGTTTTTGGTCAGCCTTATCATAATCTTCATATTGAAGGTTAAAGAAATATTTCTCAAGTTTCTCAGAGATTGTTTCTTTCATTTTTGCTCTTTTTTGAAAATATCGATTTTCTGGGAGTCTTTTGAGCTTCCTAAGTCAGGGTTTCCAATACTTGGATTGGGAGGTGAGTATTTCTTAAGACCTGAATATTTTCCAGTTTTGGTTTTTTGTTCTATGATGGGAATATTCTTGATGTGTTCAAGAATGTCTTTATTACAAGGGCAAGAGTCAATCTTTTCAGATAACTCTTTAGTAATGTCTGCAATAATTTTGCAGATGCTACTTCTAACTGTGTAGTGGTTACGTATTTAATGGCCGTTAAGTCAAAGTTTATAATCAGCCCATCTATTTTTTCATTAAGGAGGTTGATTGATCTATTTAGCTCGGGTATCGAGGTCATCCTATCAGTTGTTTTAACTGCTCTTGTATATTAGTGATCTTAAGGTTGTTTTCTTTAAGAGTGCCTTCAATATTTGCCTTTTTGGCGACTTCTTCAACAAAATGGTTGTTTTTTAAAGAGTTTTCTAAAAGAATAGAATGTTTGTCAATAGACTGGGTTAGCTTGATAGTTAGTTTATTTTGTCTTTCAATAACTTCGAAGAATTTTTCAAAATTATTTTTATCAAGATTATTTTTAACCAAAATGGCTAAATCGTTTTTAAATTGGTTAAAAGGTATTTTATTTTTAGAAATATCTTTAGAAATATCTTTTGAAATACCAAGGTAATGGCATATTTTCGAAGTTTTTAAGAGACATCTTGCAATGATCTGGTTGAGATTATTGCAATGATTTACAATTGTTTGAATACCAGCTTTTCCAGAAGTAGAGAAAACGTATTCTTTCTTTTCAGTATTGTCGTCAAGGGTTTTGATTTTTACTGTTTTACCTTTTTTATAAAAATGAGGAAAATCTATTTTATTACTCATTTATTACCTCAGAGATTTGTTTGATATTCTGACGTAGACTATCAATTTTTAAAGACATGTTTCTTATTAAGTTACTATATTTTCTTTCTGAGCTTTCTCCTATATGGAGTGAATCCATAGAAATTCTTGGTCTAAGAGTTTCTCCTAGAGCTTTTTTGTTTCTAGCTATATTTAAAACCCAAGAGTTTTCTTGAGGATTTATGTCGCAGAATTGTTTATCTTTGACATGGCCTATTTCTGAAAAGACATCATCAAGTTCGATGTACTCGTCTTTCTTGTAGTCTATGCTATGGTGACTATTGGTCAGGGCATATCCTATGAGATAGGTTATGGTGAATGGTTTATCACCTGGGTTCATAAGGTCACTTCTTTCAAAGTGATGTATAAAAGATAAAGTTTTATCTATATTTGCAGATTTCAAATCTAGAGCAAATTTTGGATAGACTGAAAACATAAATTTTTGGTATGCAAGGTTTCCCCTAGCAGCACCTAAGATGCAGTCCTGTCTGTCAGTAATTCTGTTGTCAATTAAGGCCATTTTTATGGGAGAATTTATTCCTGCTTGGAATTGGGATTTTATCAAAATTTTACAGCTCCGATATGGACCATTCTTACTTTTGATCTAATCTCAACTGGAATACTTTTTAAGTTATTGTTTATTTGTTCTTTAGTCAAAAGGGGTAGAAAGACAGCTCCTATTGTGTCTTTTATGTCTACAGACATTTCTTTAGTACTAACAAAGTAGAAAATTTCATTTTTCCTTTTAAGCGGATTTAAAATACTAAGTTTAGAAGGAACATTTTTGAAAATGTTTTCTTTCTTTATTTTTAAATCTGTTTTCTTGACCCGAGAGAGAAGATCTTGTTTTATTAAGAGGTTTGCATGAAAGCCGTCTTCATCCTCAACATAAGTTAGGATTTGTTTTTCTTCTGAATCATTTTCTTCAGAATTGTTGAAAATTTCTTTATTCATGTTTAAGAAATGTTAACAAGTTAAAATCCTTTTTCTGAATTCTGAAACTGAGTTTAAAGCTTTATCAAGGTGTTCTTGATGCATTTTTTGCCTATGAAGGAGGTACTTACGTATATTAACCATGGTTGGTATATATTCGTGAGTATGTTTATTTTGTGCTTGTAGAATTCTGAAATTTATATGCACTAAATCTTTTTTATTACTTAAAAGTATATCTTATGACATCCCCATTTTCACGGCCAGAAAAGACCGATTTTGTTTATGCTTTATAAAAATCAGAGTACCTCTTTTAATAAAAATGTTGCGGAATTTGTTCCCAGAAAAACATGATAAATACGTTTTCAAATCATTTCCGAAGAAATGTATTTCATTCATTTTCAAAACATTGGGATGTCATCGTCAATACAGAAACATAAGCATAAACAGAACTTACATTCATTTACACTAGTGATCTACATCTCTTTTAAATCTCTCAGTGTAAAGTAGCTTCATATCGACACCTGTGATACAAATAAGCTTGAGTGGGTCAGGTTGGGAAACCTATTGAGTACATAGGGTTTTCAACCCACAATAATATAATTATTATGTTTAAACAACAAACAATCAACCCCATTTACCCATCCCCATTATCTTCCTTACTCTTAAGGGTCTACACTAAGAGTCATCTATTCGTTTATTCTGAAGTCCCTTGCTTCCAGGGTTATACGGCCGACACTAAGTCCATAGCTGCCAATGCACTAATTCCATAACTGCAAAAGTTCCTTCACCGGGTACTAAATCCATAGCTACCAGTGTAGGTACTAAGTCCATAGCTACCAACGTTTATCTAACAGGTACTAAGTCGATAGCTACCAACACCTAACAAGTACTAAGTCCATAGCTACCTACGTTTACCTAATAGGTACAAAGTCCATAGCTACCATCGTTTGTCCAATAGGCACTAAGTCCATAGCTGCCGGTGTTTATTTATTGGGCACTAACTTTATAGCCAATGTTTACTCACATCATCTTTTATCTCTCATCACTCATCTACCCATGTTATACCCAACATATTTGTAGATATAAAATTCGTATACAGTTTAAATCAGTTAAAACATGTATAAAAACGTTCATCCAGCATAGATAGTAAGTATACAGATAATATGCACACATAGCACGTAATTTATATTAAATACTTCATATCTATGTGTAAGATGAAAGTAACTATGCACTCACAACATATAATTTATATTAAATACTTCATATCTATGTGTAAGATGAAAGTAACTATGCACTCACAACACATAATTTATATTAAATACTTCATATCTATGTGTAAGATGAAAGTAACTATGCACTCACTTGAAAAGGTGGTGACTCGGTACTCGGACAACACTTCGTTATCTCAAAACAATTTTCCCTTGACAAAACCTAGTATCAATACCACTAGGGTTTAGTCTAACGTTAACTGCGACTAATTAATAGTCTAGCTATTATTACTATTATATAAGCGTTAAGCAACACTCTTATATAACTCATAATAATAGCCCAAATAATTCTTTTAAGGTCCTAATAATGTTACTATATTAAAACATAAGCTATACTAAAGATAGGGTAGTCGTAGCTCACTTACAGCGGGTTTTCTCGAAAACCGGGCTCCGCCGGAGCAGAGTTTCTGAGCCGAGGGCTCTCCTTTTCGAAGCCGTCAGGCGCTCTGGGGCTTCCGCCTCGTGCTAGGGAGTTACCCTAGGCTTTGGGGGGTTAGGGAGGCTTAGAGAGAGGTTCTAGAGAGAGAAAGAAGGGTTTGAAGGTGTGAGGAAATGGCATGACCCGACACTTCTATTTATAGGGTGAAATCCTGATGGACTCGCCGAGTCGGTTCACTGACTCGCCGATTCGGTGCCACGTGTCATCATCTGATGGCTTTTCTTGGGGAGAAAGCCTTGGCCCATAATCAGCCACGTCACCCCTTTTGTAGCAGCACCCTGCCGACTTCTAAACCCCGTAACTTTCGCATACGATCTCCGTTTTTGACGTTCTTTTTTTCCACGCGTAGGTAAAAACAAGATCTACAGCTTTCATTTAGACTTCATTGGCTAATTCTCATCCGATCTTAAATTTAACAGTAGGAGGAGATTAGACTGTTAAATGACCACGAAGAATTCGTAACTCCTTCATACGGACTCCGTTTTCGTCTGTCTTTTTACTGTTGAGTTCCTATTAATGAGATATTCAATTCTCATTAAGGTTGCGTAAGCCAAAAACCGCTCGAACTAAAATTCGAGTTTCGGGCCGTGCACTGCTATGCAAAATCTTAGAAAAATCATAACTTCCTCATACGAAGTCAGATTTGGGCGTTCTTTTTTTGTATGTTCTCGGTTTAACATATACTACAACTTTTGTTTAGATCACTAAGGCTAAAAAGTCCTCTATCGTAAATTCACTATTTACGTCTCCCGGTGTCGTGCCGGTTTTGCAGCGAAACTTCGACGGGCCATAACTTCTTCGTTATAACTCGGATTTCCGCGTTCTTTATATGTACGGAACCCTTGGAACATATACTACCACTTGGTTAAGATTACTCCTTCTAAATAGTCTTCCATCAAAAACTCATTTTTGATGCTCATTGTCTCTAAATTGACTAGCCCGAATCTACGAGCGTTACAATTATCTCCCCCTAAGGATGATTACGTCCCGGAATCGTCAACGAAACAGGATTGTATAAGGACTCCATACGTTATCTCTTCATCCTAGGTAATAACCGTAACTTTTATGTTGTTTCTGTAACATCCCGATTATTGAATAAATAAGTAAGTTAATAGCCTTAAAATAAATAATATTTAGCGGGGGTGTTGGTGTTGGGGAGCAAATTGAGTTAATTATGGATTTTGAGGGTTAAAGTGTAATTTTCGGGCCACTTTGTAAATATTTCTGGAGGTAGGGGCTGGTTGGTAATTGTTGGGACTTGTATTGTTATGAATTATTAATGGTAGGGGCTGAATGGTATGTTTTGGACCTTAGATGAAAGGAATTTATTGAGCCAGGGGCTAAAGGGTAACTTTTGGATTTTCTTCGAAAATAACTTAATGGGGAGGGACCAAAAGTGTTTAATTGGCATTATAGTTTGGGATGGACACGGGTTAATCCCGTATGTTTCTTTCCTT